TAATATATTTTTAATAATATATATTTTTAATATTTTTGAATAATATATTTTTAAAAGTATTATATTTTTAATATATAAAAAATAATATATTTTTAATAATATATAAAAATAAAATAATATATTTTTAAATTTTATGTAAACGTTTTTTTTAGTTTTATTTTTATATAAGTATTTAATATATCTTATTAAAAAATAAATAACAGTAAGATTTTTCAAATTTTTATTTGAATTTTATTTAATATACTTTAATCAAGAGTTATAATATATATTATAGTTTATTATTATTAGTTAATTTTATTTTTGAAAATTGATTCGTACACACATAGGAATGAAAAAAACCTTACATTTTCTATGGAATGGCTAATCCCATGGAGATGGGTTTTGCCATTCCCATTGGAATAGTCATTCCTTTTTAAAAATTATACCAGTCATGGGATAAGGTTAAGGAATGATCATTCCATTTTCATGTCATTCCTTCCTACCAATCATGCCATTAGAAGTGAATCAATCATGTCTGTAAATAAAGATATATACTAATACAACACTCATGTATTACACGGGTGTTTGTTAAAATTAATCTTAAATTTTAAAATTAATAACAAAAGTTATTTTAAATTTTATTTATTTTTTTACAAAAAAAATATATGTTATTATATATTTTATCATGACACTTATTACTTGTGCGACTTACATTTGTTATATTATAGTAATTTTTATAACTTATATCATATAACTACTTGAAATAATTGATAAATAATTTTACTTTCTAATTAATATTAAAAAAACAAATTTATGATTATTATAAAGATAAATATAATTTTTTTTTATACATACAATATGAATGTTAAATCGAAGTTCATCAAGAGATGATTAATTTGATATATTATATGTGTAAAAATGATAAAAAATATAAAATTTATTAACTTTTAAAATACATTTACAATTCAATGATTATAATAAGAAATGATATTAAAATGTAATTAATACATGTAACATGACTCTAAATAATCAACATATTTATGGATAATTCGAACCTAATTATTTTTGGATTGAAAGTAAATTAAAATCTACATGTAATTTTGCCACATAGGATCTCAAAGCATGCGAGAGCTTACCACTTAGATTCACCATGTTCTTAATTAATATATAAGGGGATTTATTATTTATATTATGAAATTTTACATGTTTGAAGTTTATTTTACAAAAATATGTAGTTTTAATATAAAAATATGTATATTTATGAAATATAATGGCTGTGATGGTTAGATACCTAACAGATCGCTAGCATTTCAAATGAGATAAATAATAAAAATTTAACCACATCTTAAATATAAACTTTGTAAAAAAAAAATTATTCTCCAACTTATGGTTTTACGTGATCTTTTTATGGTGATATGGATAAATNCATGCAAAGTATGAAGCTCATTAGCACACTTTTAGTTCTTACCCAGTCAAACTATCCCAAAGCTTCTATATTTGTAGATATTTTAATGAAGAAAATAAACTAAACCTATAGAAATTATATATTTTAAATGATTTTAATGAAGAAAATAAACTACACCTATAGAAATTATATATTTTTAAATGAATTTATTGGGATGTATATTTCAAATGAAAAAAAAATATTCTGTTAATATTAACATTTCATCATATCCTAAAACTTTAATGTTATCAAAACTTTATTGTTATCAAACTTTAAGGGTGAAATAGTCATTCACATATAATATTATATATATTTATGCACCTCATGAGGTGCATGCACTATTATTATAACACTCCCCTTTGAATGACTATTTTCTAAATATCATTATTTAAACAAAACATAATCTGAACATCTTGAAGTGTACCTTGTGTCCATCAAGTACCGATGCTTCAACATGTCAGGAAAACCATCAGGAACAAAACGTGATCATTTTAGAATCAATCCATTGCTCCCTCAGTAAAACCCGTTGAGACAAAACCTGATCATTTTCGAATCAATCCATTGCTCCCTCAGTAAAACCCGTTCGGACAAAACCTGAACATTGTGGAAGCACAACATTGCTCCTCCTCAAATAGATTATCTTTATTGGAGTATTTAAGTGCTGCCTCATTAAAACCTTGTCAAGAAAACCCAATAGAAAAACTTGATCGAAGGAAAAAGAGTACAATTACTCCAATATCTTCTTATTATCATGAAGAATTATATCAATTATCCAGTAATTATCATTATACCATGAATATGTCTCGTTAAAGCATTATTAGGAAAAATCCAGTGAGACAAAATCATAATGAAGAAAAATATTACACTATTTATATGAATATTCCATCTCTGTTGCCTCATTAAAAATCTTACTGGAAAAACCCAATGGGACAAAACCTCAGCTAAGGAAAAAAGAGTACAACATTTAGTCTTCAGGACCTAATCTTCTGGATTATTTTGAGTTTGTCTCTCCCTTGAAGACAATAATCTTCCTAGTTTACGCATACCAATAGCATAAATGTATTTTTCAAAAGTAGATGTAGGAAGGGATTTGGTGAATAGATCTGTAAAATTCTCACTAGATTGTACTTTTTGTACAATAATCTCACCGTTCTTCTGGAGCTCGTGTGGATAAAAGAATTTTGGAGCATTGTGTTTTGTCATGCTTCCTTTGACATATCCACTACTTATTTGTATAACACAAGCTGCATTGTCCTCATAAAGGACAGTGGGGGTTATATCATTTGTAATTCCACATGACTCACGAATATGTTGGATTAAAGATCTCAACCATACACATTCTTTTGAAGTCTCGTATAAAGCAATTATTTCTAAGTGATTTGAAGATGTAGTAACCATAGACTGTTTGACCGACTTCCAAGATATTGCAGTACCACCACAGAGAAAAACATAATCAGTCTGAGATCTGGCATTATGGGGATCAGACATATAGCCAGCATCTGAATATCCCACCAATGTCATATCTTGGTTATTTTTTATAAAGTAAACCAAGATCTTGTGAACCTTGAAATACCTAAAACTATGTTTAATTCCATTCCAGTGTCTCCTCGTAGCAGAAGCACTAAACCTTGCTAGCAAGTTTATTGCAAATGCAATATCAGGCTTGGTGCAATTTGTAAGATAAAGTAACGCACCTATGGCGCTTAAGTAAGGAACTTCTGATCCTAAACTTTCTTCGGTATCTTTTTTAGGTCTAAATGGATCCTTATCCGGTTCAAGTGATCGGACAACCATTGGTGTGCTAAGTGGATGAGATTTATCCATGTAGAATTTTTCTAAAACCTTCTCCAAGTATGCTGACTGATGTACAAAAATTCCTTCAGGGAGATGCTCGATCTGCAGGCCGAGGCAATATTTTGGTTTTACCCAAATCTTTCATTTCAAACTCCGTCTTTAGGCATGAACTAGCTTTATCATGCTCCTCTTGTGTGCCAACTAAATTTATGTCATCGACATAAACTGAAATGATACAAAAACCATACTTTGACTTCTTTATAAATACACAAGGGCACACATCGTTATTTACATAATTATTTTTCAACAAAAACTCACTCAGCCGGTTGTACCACATTCTACCCGACTGTTTTAAGCCATATAATGACTTTTGTAATTTAACACTATACATGTTGCGTGTTTCATTTCCCTTTATTTCAGGAACTTTTAATCCTTCAGGGATTTTCATATACATATTTTTGTCTAATGACCCATATAAATATGCGGTCACGACATCCATTAACTG